CCCGGTAGATAATGTTTTTGGATGTCAAAGGCGTTTTCAGGTCTCGCCAGCTGGAATAATGCAAGACGTACACTACTTTAAGGGGCTGTTTCTACGGTCAGACCGCGCAACATGATGGTGATATCTCACGGCAACGCAAGAGTCTTGTTCATTGAACCGAAGTACGACACTGTCGCCACGATCTGTTTACTTCTAGTAAGTGTGAATCGAACTATAAGGACTGGTGTTTCAAGTGCCCCGCGCCAATAAACATATATGTGCCGTACCGAAAACGTTGGCTTTGCTTCGGTCTTCGGTTCGCGGGGCTTGGCCTACTTCCTTGGGGTTGCCGTCGGCATATTATCTCGGTAGAGCATGTATTTTGATGTCAGAGCAGTTTTTAGGTCCCGTCATTTCGAATTATACAAGAGGTGCGCTACTTTAAGAGGGTGCTACTGCAGTCTGTCCGCACATGATGCCAACATCTCACAATGCATTGGTCTTAGTCTTTGAGCCGAAGTGTTGTAACTGAACCGACATTGGCGGCACGACGTATTCATTTCTAGCAAGTGTGAATTGCATTATCCGGACCCGTGTATGAGGTGCACTGCGCCAATTAAAGCATATGTACCGTACTGAAAACGTGTGATTTGCTTCGGTCTTCGGTTTCCGGGGCTTGGCTTATTACTTTGGCATTGATGTTAGCGTATTCTCTCGGTAGAGTATGTCTTTGGATGTGAGTTTGGTACGGTTTGGATGTTTCGGTACGGCACATATACGCTAATAGACGTATATGTGCCGTACCGAAAACGCTGGCTTTGCTTCAGTCTTCGGTTTCCGGCGCTTGGTCCGTTTCCTTAGGATTGCTATTGGTACATTATCTCGGTAGAGCATGTCTTTGGATGTCAGAGCGGTTTTTAGGTCTCGCCAATTGGAATTATACAAGAGGTGCACTACTTTAAGAGGGTGCTACTGCAGTCCGTCCGCACATGATGGCAAGCATCTCACGGCAATGCACGAATCTTATTCATCGGACCGAAGTCTTGCAGTTCCACCGACATTGTCAGCACGATGTGTTTAGTTCCAATGAGTGTGAATCGCATTATCCGGACTCGTGTGCGAGGTGCACTACGCTAATAGACGTATATGTACCGTACCGAAAACGCTGGCCTTGCTTCAACCTTAGTTTCCCGGGGCTTGGTCCGTTTCCTTAGGATTGCTGTCGTCATATTATCTCGGCAGAGTATGTCTCTGGATGTCAGAGCGATTTCAGGCCTCGCTCGTTGGAATTGTACAAAAGGTGCACTACTTTAAGAGGGTGCTACGACAGTCCCTCCGCACGACATAATGGCAGCATCTCACGGCAACGGAGTAGTCATATTAACTGAACCCCAGTATTGTAGCTTAAGCGACACTGTCGTCACTATGTGTTTGGTTCTAATAAGTGCGAATCGCATTATCCGGACTCGTGTATGAGGTACACTGCGCTAATCGACGTTAATGTACCGTACCGAAAAGGTTGGCTCGGCTTCGGCGTTGGGTTCCCGTGGCTTAGTATGTTTTTTAAGATTGCTGGAAATGCTCCAGTTCAACCGACATTGTTGGCTCTTTCTCTGTGTTGTCTGCTTTGAAATATCAATTTAGGTTTAGAACTGAAAATAAATTAGGAGTGCAATAATAAGGTAAGAAGTAGAAAGAAGTGCAATGATAAGGTAAGAGTGTAGGAGCCTTTCTGGCCTGCGTGCGATGGGCCGTAAGTTGTCAAATATTTGATAACAATGATCAAAATCATGCTATGTGCGAAGGCTCAGCGCCCCAACAAGTAATTCGAGGCACGAATGTGCAGAACTGAGATGCTATTCTTGGATTCCCGTATGTCCGTGATTTGGTGCGTATGTTGCCCTTTTAGTACGTGTTATAAATGGTCTGCTGCCTGCGTGTCAAAAATCACATTACTGGTTTTTTGCAGAAATTACAATGGTGTCAGATGGTAATTTCTTGAAGATGATAGGCGCTCATGCGAGCATTGTGAGTAGCAATGGTCGAAACGACAAAATAAATAATGCTACTTGCCCGCTAATTATTTTTGGTGCTAAGGATGTTGTTTGGGTTGTATTATTCCCAAGTTGGGCAATTCTGCTAACGCGAGCTGGTTGCGCCCGTTTCGTACTGCGCACAAAACGCTCGCGGTGGAGATTTTTCTTCTTATAAAAAAGGTGAAGTACTTGAAGAATCCCGCGAGAAGAGCCCTATCGGCATAAACAGCGCCTGGCATCGCTTTTATGGTGCGTTAAGACGTGGCTATTTCGACAGGTTATGGTGTTCACAAGTGCCGGCGAGCCGAAGGCCGGCCACGCGGAGCGCGGGCGTCCACTGCGCCGCGATCGCCGCGCAGTGACCTCAGACACGACGGAAGCCCTACCCCCGCTCACCCTGCCACCGATCGGCGGCTCGGGCAAGCAGACGCCGGTCAGCCGCATGTCCAGGCAGGAGACGCAGCGCCTGCTCTCAGAGGCCATGGTCACGCTGCGTAACATGGACAAGGTGGACGCCAAGCCACCGTGACGTCATTGCGGGCACGAATGACGTCATCGTTCCCGAAAGCCGCCGCCGGCGTCAGATGACGTGACGATTCGAGTGAGGTGGCTCCGAGGACAGACGGCATGAAGCTGTGATGCAGAGGGAAAACAAGAGCCGGAGTTACATGCGCTTCTGCGTTTGGATGTGATTACCCTGCTTCGAGACTGAGTGAGAAATTACTTCATTTCGAGGTGTCGACACCCGGGGCGCGGGCCTAGAAACATGGCCCTCCATTTCTCCGTCCCAAAAGCCTTCGTGGAAAGACTGTGCGCGTGTGCGTGCATGTGTGTGTGTGTGGTAGGACCGAGAGCGTCCCTTCTTAGTCAGCTTGGCGGCAGCCCCTCCGCTCCAGCCCAGAACATGCCGAGCTCGCATGGAACTGCTGAATCCAGTCAAATCGTGCTTCTCGTGTAAGCCCCGCCTGAGGTCAAAGGCAGGGAATGGTGAGATCAAACCAGTTCAAACCATGTCAGACCAGAACCGCCAGAACCGAGCCAGATCCAGCTAGCGCACGCTGATCCCGAGGCTGTGGAATGACCTAGTCCTCGTGAATTCATGAAGCTCCGCACGGCTACGGCTACGTAAGAAGAAAATCAGGGGGTCTGTGGTACGGCAAACTGGCTGCTTGACTGGTGAGCAAGCTACCGTGTTATCTTTAGGTGGACGAAGCGGAGGAAGCTACCATATGAAAAACGGAGCGGTTGGCGGCTTGATTTGTGGGGTCGTCGAAATGTGTCTGTAATTATAGGAACGTCGTGATGCTTTTGTCAGTGATCCGGTCTTGATCTCTGTCTTGAGATGTTCGTAGTATGATACAATGGGAGGAAGCTGACATTCATACTTTCTTTACGCAATGAGTTAGCAAGCATGTCGCTACTGGCACATTTTCCATGTTCTAATGACGCTGTTTACTACTAATGTGTGGTGGAAAAGTTTGATATTTCGGCGATTTCGGCGGTAGTTTCTCCGAAGTTAATGACCACAGGCAATGCTTAACTAGCTGATTACACACGTCATAAAAATGCTAGAACGTGGCAGCGATGCAGACGAACGGTGCTGCTCATGTCCGGCGTCTGTTTTGTTATTGTCCGGCGTCTATCAGCTGGGCCACTATCGGCGTCTATCAGCTGGGCCTGTTCCTGTGAGCCGACGCCACTGTTGGCTGGTTTCAGCCACCTGGTGGCAGCTGCACTGAGCAGTGCAGCTGCCACCAGTGCTGTCAGCGCCGACAGACCACGCTTCAGGCGGCTGGTGGGCGGGAGAAGCCTTTGGTGCCGGGGACGCAGCTGTGATAAATGTAGACAGCTGCCGCAGGGACCAGCAGTGCAGCTGCCACCAGTGCTGTCAGCGCCGACAGACCACGCTGCAGGTGGCCGGTGGGCGGGGGTGGCCTCTGATGCCGGGGACGCAGCTGTGATACATGTAGACAGCTGCCGCAGGGAGCGAGCAGTGGGACCGACATGCCTCGTGTCATGGCGGACCTCTGCCCACCACGCTGTCCTGCTGCTATAGCCATGGGCTGTGATCACCCTTCTGCGTGTTCCTACGCCTCTTGACCTGTTGCGTGTTTCTTCCGTTCGACACTGCATGCTCGCACATGCGGGGCAGAAAAGGCTGCGATGCATGCAGTGTGCTCTGTTATACCAGGAGCGCGTCTCGCACAAATATATGAGTTTGTGTGCAGCTGTTTATAAACCCGAAACTGCGATGGTGGAACGACGAGCATGCATGGCGGAATTTCGCCAATGGTAGACCTCCTTAGACCAGCACATCAACGGCCTGGATGCTAACATGACCTCATGAAAGCATAAGGACGATATAACTGTCTTTTAGGTTTAATCCTTTTTTAGAATGCATCTACATTCTGGGACCAGAGCCAACCTGCGCTTTTTGCGTGAGCCCTGATCCCCTCCATCCGAATGCGAAACTTCAAACGAACGGCGGCATTGGGTGACGGAATTCTAACAACGGACCGTGTCGCGATGCTCGGCACGGTCCGTTCTGACCTTCTGACATCAGCTGACTCTGGCACGGCCGCTGCCACCGACCGCAGGCCATACCAGTCAGGAGCAGATGAAGAGCGCCTTGAAACGGCTCGAGCCCACCCCGCCACCGGTGGGTGGATCAGAAGGCAGGCGCTTAAATCAGCGAAACTATTAAGGCGAGCGACTTCTGCTGGTCATTGCCATCATGAACCGATTCAGCTCGTGCCTTCACCACTCGTCCGAGAGGCGATCGCGCGCTCGACGGCCGCGCTCTGCTCGCCCCCTCCCCCCCGTCCGCCCGCCAGATGCGCTGCCGCTCCCGCAGCTGAGCCCTGACCGCCTCCGGCGCGACACTCCTCCTCCCAGCCTCGGTCTCTCAAACAACACGACTCCTCCCAGCCTCGGTCTCTCAAACGACACTCCTCCTCCCAGCCTCGGTCTCTCAAACGTCACGACTCTCCCGTCCGACCGCTGTATTGAAACTCGGCGCTGGGCCCAGCGGCCTGGAGGCCCAGCCACGGCTGGCCCGAGGGACGGGCCGCTGGGCTGGGTCAAGGACCGCTGGACCAGCGCACGTGACGGGACGCGCGTGGATACGAGGGCTGTGTGAACGCCACAACCGTGCACGGCTCTTAAATTACTCAGTGACATTGTATAAATAGCACACAGGTAGTTTTAATATAAATACTATTCTACAATAAATACACGTACACCTACTCGGAGCGAACAAAGAAGCCATCTAAACACGGCAGTCAGATCTGTTGTTCAGTCAGATCTGCAGCCAGATCTGACTGTCCCACAGGCTGTACGAGGTGAGCTACGACGGGAGCATGTCGAGCGATTTGTTGGCACGGTCGCAATCACTTAGATCCCGTTACGAAGGAGCAGTAGTGTGTGCGTGTGAGGGTGCGGACCCGTTTGTTGTACCCAGTGACACCGGCGGACCATCGCCGGGCGCTGCCTGCATCCTCACACCGCCTGCATTGTGACGCGAACAATGGCGCACGCGGCAGCGAACCCAGCAGCACGCAACCTCTGATCCCGGACCTACCAATAAAAGGTGGGAGAAGTACGCGAAACCACCCTCTCGTTGAACCCCTAGGAACAAGCTGCTGGGTGCGCCCCTGCTATCACTTGCCCCTTGGCGGTGACCCGCCTGACTTCCCGATGTCCTCATACCCGCGCTACGTCCGCCTCCAGCGCCGGATTGTCGACGCCGCCACGGAACGCCGCCATCGCTTCGCGCTTCTCCCGTGTCACAGAGTCGTCATCGGTTGCCGTGGCAGCGGATCCACAGCAGCAGCGTGATGTCACGGCGCCGACGAACCTATCATAGGGCTCGAGGCTGCGCAGCGGCGCCGGCAAGAACGCCCAGGTGCGGAGCGGTGTCGGCAAGAAGCCCGGGGCACGCCGCTGCAACATGGTTACCGTGGCAACGAACAGCGCGGTTGCCATGGCAACGCCACAGACAGCATATAGTGACCGCGGTCCGGCCATGGACAGTCCGAACACCATAGCCGGCAGCACCATGAACATGCCGATCAAGTAGCCTACGGCGAACCAGCGGTAGCGGGCGGTGATGTTGCCCAAGCCGCGCGCCAGCGGCACGGGCCAGCGCAGCGCCGGCAGCGAGTAGAAGACAAAGATGCCGGTCATGTTGAAGACGAGGTGGACGAGGGCGATCTGAATGCTGGGCCGCAGCGTCCTGCCGGAGGCGGCGAGCGCGGCCAGCAGCGCCGTGGTGGTGGTGCCGATGTTGGAGCCCAGGGTGAGCGGGTACATGCGATCCAGCGATATGACGCCGCAGCCGACCAGCGGCGTCAGCGCCGACGTGAAGACGGAGGATGACTGCACCAGGATGGTCATGCCGCAGCCGACCAGCATGGCCAGGTAGCCGGTCAGCCAGGAGAAGTGCGGCAGGTCGGCGTTCAGCGTCGTCCGGATCACGGACGCAATGCTGCCTGCCGACGGCAGGGGCGGCGTCAGGCCGGGCAGGGGCGGCTCAGACCGGGCAGGGGCGGCGTCAGGCCAGGCAGGGGCGGCGTCAGGCCGGGCAGGGGTAGGGCAGGCCGGGTACGGGCGGCATCAGGCCAGACAAGGGGGCGTCAGGCCCAGTAGTGGCGGCATCAGACCGGGCAAGGGCGGCATCAGACCGGGCAAGGGCGGAATCAGGCCGGGCAGGGGCGGTGTCAGAAGACATGGCAGCTTATAAAAATGATTGGGAGGCGGGGCGGAGGAGGGATGAAGAGCACCGTTTTACTCCTTGGGGCCAGCCTTTCCAGTCATCTCCGCAGACGTAGCATGAAAGCAGAAATCATGGGGCATGGTGGGGGGGGGGGGGGGGGGAGGGGAAGCACTAATGGCGACATAACTCAGCATTACATGGTCAGCGTGAAGCACGGCACAACTGATGCCAGGAAACTCAGTG